AGTACTTCATTCCTTTGCTAAGTCAACTCAAGTTATAGTCTGTCAGTACTTGGAGCCTTACTTTTCCAAAAGATTCAGTGCTTTTTAGACATCTTCTTTCAATATCATCACCTTTTTTTTTTTTTTTCAGTTTTAAGCGCTTTTTTTTTGAAAGTTTTAAGCTTATCCATAGGAGAAAGATGGCAATCTCTTCCTGCATGAAAACCCACTGGAGGGTCAGCTGTAAGCTGCTTACAGCCTCCAAAACCTATTGGAGAGCCAGCTGTGAGTAGAGCCAGTGTGAGTAGGGTCCTCTATGATTCAATAGCAATGAATTTGACTGTTTAGTGATATGAGTGAAAGTTCGCAGAGATGATTGGTATGCCTTTCAAGCGCTCACATGTAATGTGTTTTTTGATATCATAGATTCCAATTGTCCCATCCTCCCTGCCATTGAGTTCCAAGTAGGTGAGATGGAGCTTCAAAATCCTTGCCTCCAAAGAGCAGCTTGGTTTCATCCTCTCTAGGATAGATCTGTTTGTTCTCTTGGCAGTCCATGGTATGTTCAGTACTCTTCTCCAGCACCATAACTCAAAGGCATTTATTCTTCTTCTATCATCCGTATTCATTGTCCAGCTCTTTGATGCAAAGCAAGTCATTGCAAAGACTATGGCTTGGATCAGGCTCACCTTTGTCTCCAGACTAACATAATTGCTTTTTAGTACTCTGGAGAGATCCCTGACAGCCAATTTTCCCAGTGTAGTCCATCTTTTTATTTTCTCGCTGCTGATATCAAAAGTATTGATTGTGAAGCCAAGCAAGAAGCTGTTAACAGTCTTAAGCTCTTCTCTGTTCATCATGATACTGCCAAGTGGCCAAGTGTTGAGAACGCTGTTTTCTTGATGTTGAGCTTCAATCCGTATTGAAGGCCACAGTCCTTGACCTTCTGCAGCAGATGCCTCAAGTCCTCCTCAGTTTCAGCAAGCAGGGTTGTGTCACCTGCATAATGTAGGTTACTGATGAGTCTTCCTCCAGGCATGATGCCACACTCATCTTCATAAATCCCAGCCTCCCGGGTGCTCTGTTCTGCATATAGAGTGAGAGGGTATGGATGTAGGATCCATCCCTGGAGTCTGCTTTCCAGATTTTGAACCTTGCAGTGTTTCCTTGCTCCATTCTGACCACTGCTTCCTGGTCCAAGTATAGGTTTTGCATGAGCACAATCAAGTGTTCTGGGGTTCCCGTTCTTCTCAAGGTTAGCCACAATCTGTTGTGATCCACACAGTCAAATGCACAGGATAGTAGTGATTTTTAAAGTAATTTTTTTTAAAGTAGAGTAGGAGAGAGAGAGAGAGAGAGTGTGAGAGAGTGTGTGTGTGGGTGTGGGTGTGGGTGTATGTATGTATTCCAAAGGATAATCCTTGGGTTCTCCTTAAATGTTAACCATTTAGTAATACTAAAATTTTAAGGAATTTCATGACATTTAATTTGGAAGCTTTTTTTTTAAAATATTGTAGACAAAATTGGAAGATTGGCTGGCTATTTGTAACTAGGACGTGGTGATAACACTGAAAATGACATCTGTTTATTTTGCAGGAAAGTGCTTGCCTATCGTTAATGCCGGCACTTGACTCTGAAATGACACTCGTTAGATTTCTTGGTGGCATCATCTGTATCCAATTCAGTAATATCACACAATATCCTAACAGTCCACCTATTATATAAAAGTAAATTTCTAAAGCCCATTTTCTTTTTTGTTTTCTGCTGACTAATGTGTGTATAGTGATCCCATAATTCTATTTTAACTGAAAAATGTGAAATTGTAAGATGAACTGTTGTCAAGCCTCCCACTTACATTTTTCACCTTAAAATCGTCATTGGGGAAAAGAACTGTTTGCCTTGATGTAACGGCTCCCGGGTTTCCGGGAATGACTTGACCCTGAGACTGGCTGATGAATGTCTGGAAACGTCTTGGATGGAATGTGGTGCTTAGTTTCTCCTGGTGCCTTTTTGCACACAGGGGAGTAGATGAAGCCCAGGGTGACTACTGTGGCTAACTTTTGCTTTAAAATAAAGCCCTTCTGGCAAGACCACTAGCTGGGGGTGTAGCTTTGTCTACACTGACTGAAAGATTATGTCTGTAAAAGCTGCCCAGTCTCCTGAAGTGCTCCATGGGACTATGGTGAGCTACCGGACTTTTCTTTCTTTACGTAAATCTCAGTTTCCTGCATCGTGATGGACCTAGAATGTGGAGATCAATGTGCTGAGAATGGAGTCCCCAGTGGTACAAATCATGAGAGCATTTGTCTGCCCCTGGGAAGGGTGGAAGTTCAAGTCCACCCAGAGGTGCCTTGGAAGAAGGGTCTGGCTATCTGCTTCTGAAAATTGGTCAGTGAAAATCCACTGAAACACTGTTATGCACACGAGGTGCTTCAGAATAGGAATTAGGTAAATGGAGATGGATTTGATTTTTTTTAATTATTGGTTTGTACAGTGTCTAGAAAAATTAGTACTAGGATTCTTTGGATAATGTAAAATCCGTCTGAGAATACATTCTAGAACATTAGTTAGCAGAACAGAAAGTGATAGATGCCTACATTTCCAGCCTCTATTCTCTCCACGGTCACAGGGATCTCTTTCTCCATCACCTCCTGACCCTCTCTTATTTCCATAAGGATCTACTTGACTTGACCTCTCTGTTTTGAACTGTCATATTGTTTGCTTTTTTTTTAAAAAAAATTAGAGGTAGATTTAATTATCATTGTTTCTAATCATATAATTTTTTGCCACATCTGAACATTACCATTATGGGGGCCTCCTACTGGCCCACTGTTAAGGAGTTGCACTGATAACCCAAACGTAAGCTTTTCAAATCCACCAGCTGTTCAATGGGACAAAGATGGAAATTCTGCCCCCATGCGAGTCAGCTGTGTGTCGGTCTGACTCGATGGTACAGACCAACAAGAACCACTATTGTCAAGGTGATTTGAGACTATTCAAGGAGGGGGGGGAAATGTCCGCATAGTTTTGTTTTTGTGTCCTCTGCTTTCTTGGTGATTTTTGGGTTGCTTTGTTTTTTCAAGATGTCACATGTCTCAACTGAGAGCCCACCAACCTCTAGCCATTGGTTCCTTCCCTCTTCCCTGTTTATTTGTTCCCTGAACCAGTTCATTTGCTAGAGAACATTTGCTTAGCTGTGTGCATGTAGAGTTGTTAGGTTTTGTTTTCTTGTATTTTCTTAACTTGCTAGATTTGTTTAGAATTAAGTCTCCTCATTTCAAGTATGAAGACATTTACCCACTTCCTGTGATTGTGTGGAAGCCAAATTTTGTCTGGTTTGAAACACCAGAGAGGTAAATTTCCTAGATATGTTAAAACAGTCTATGTTAGAGGTTGTAGTGGCCATGGTAGAGTTAATCTAAAATCTATCTTTATGTAATAGATAAAGTATTGCACTCCAGAGGTAAAGGTGCTGGCAGGGGGAAGGATGCAGGCTGTTTATCAAGGGAACAATGTAGCCACATGTCAACATAAGATGGACAACCATATTGTGATTGAATTACTTACAGCATAATGCTCTCGGAAGACAAGACCGATGACTTGATTCATTAAAACGAAAAATTAGCCAGCAAAAGCAGATACTTTAACCATGTCTATCAAAGTGGTTTTGTCCACATACAGTCAAGCCAATCTGATGTCACTGGTTTGTTAGTTAACGAGATAGCCCATCTTAATTCACGTGTTGACTCTCACTATGTCCTTTGATGTCTTGTGTTGTTGGGATTGTAACTGATGCATGAGCGAGCCCTCTGTTCAAACTGTTTCTAATATACGATTTCCTTGTCCAGTGTTCTTTCAATAAGGGTACCTGGCCTTGGAGGCTATCTTGTCAGAATGATGCAAATCAAAGTGTGAATTCCATATTTATTTACCTATTTATAAAATTGTATTGTTCTGCAACATCCTAGCTCCACAGATGTTGTGACCCAAAAAAAAGAACAATGTGATGATGATTGTTCTGGCCAAATGGAACACTTAGTTGAGAAGAGCAATGGGAAGCGATGAGTAGTGTAACAAGAATAATAAAACACTGATATTTCCTTCATTAAGTGGATTTTTTTTTAAATTGAGTGGAACCTATTGTTTTAAGAATCTTAGTTTCTTCTGGTTCCCACACACAGAATCCCCCCTCCAAAAAAAAAAAAATAAATAAATGTACGTGAATAAACATGTATTTCTTTAAATATATTTTTTTTCCTATCTTGCTTAAGTTACATTTCTAATACCAGGAAAAGAATTGTTAAGAATTGCATGTCATTGTTAAAAAGCCCCTGAGAAACAGAAAACACTGTATTGGCTCCAGTGGGCCAGAGTCTGTCTTTCTAAAAGCCACATACTGAAACATGACACTCCCTTGGATTCCCCTCTGTCCTGAGCAAGGGACAGAAAATTGCCCACCTTCCAGCTACTCCATTTGGACTTGAGCAGTGTATTTGCTTTTGAACTCTAGAGCTTCAATCACCATCTCCTGGGTGCACACTTCCCTTGTGATGTGTGACTTCTTCCTAGCAGACGCCTGCTGGGAACTGTATTAATAAAACACAGTGAAAAAGAGAAAGAAGGTGTGAGCTCCCCTTTTCTGGGGCCCTTGTTAATCTTGGGGAGCCCAGCATCTTCTGTGGTGGCACAAAGGCAAAGCAGGAGTAAATGCTTATTCTCGTCCCACTCCACAAAGGAAATGCTTTTGCGATGTTATTGTTCAGCCACATTTCTCTGAAGAGAAGCACCAGCATATGTCTCTGTCCATCCTGAGGTTTTGACGCTTGATCCCCATTGCTCTCTAGCATCATTCTAAACAGAGCCCGGCTGTCTGGCTGGCTGGCTGGCTGTCTGGCCGCAGCCAGAAGGAGCTTGAATGGTACCTGTTATTGAAAGGGAGTCTGTATTTGCAGCAATACAGAGTCTGAATGCCAGTTTAGAAATGAGCCTGATTGCACGGTTCATTTTGTTCTCCTTTGTAGAGCCAGGCTGGGGCCCACTACAAAGGCACGAAACATGCCAAGAAGCTCAAAGCACTGGAAGCCGTGAAAAATAAGCAGAAATCGTTAACTGCCAAGGACGGCGCAAAGACCACCTTCACCTCCACCACTTCCAATGCCATCAATGCCAGCTCTGACAAAACAGGTTAAGCGATGATCTTTGTTGTTGTTGTCTCCATGGTCCTTATTGTTGGGGGGGTCCCCTCCCTTGTCTAACTCCAGGTCTGTATACTTCCATGCCTACCCATTGGCTCACGCTTGATCCATCTTTCTGTGTGAGGAGAACTGTCTTCCCCCCACCCCCGCCTCCCATTTTTCTCAATGCCTTTAAGAGATTATGACGATTAATTGTTATCTTGTTGATTTTGCATTTCAAGAGTCTTATGGCTGTTTGAGAAGAAAATAGGAAATATAAAGAATGGGGATCCCTGTCCCCTATGCCCTCATTGGGAAGTACACCTTTTCAGGGGGTTTACAGCATCATTTGTATGCTGTTTGCAGCACCTTAGCATGTAGTTGCGTGGTGGGTTTGATTTAACTGTGAGTACACAGCAAAGTACGCCCAAGGAATGGAGAAGGGTCCCCAGAAGGGCATTAGCACCGACAGCTATTATTCTCATAAATGGCAAACACTGCGTTGTTTTAAGTAGCGGCTGCATGACTGTGAGTTTGTTATGGCTGGGTAACCTTTCCTCTGCATACACAGGTAAGTGTTATTGATACCAATTATTCTTTTTAACAGAGTCTTCAGAGTGAAATAATAGCCTCTGAATGGCCCCTGGAGACAGGCCTTGCAAACAACCAACTTATTCATGCCCCAGGAAGCCGGTGGCTTTGTGGGGCTGGCATTTGAAAATCTAAGATTCCCGTTCTTGAGAGTTTACCCAGAAGAGAGCCCTGTGTGAGTCATAGATGTTCTGCTAATAAATCACCTTTAAGCACAAATGCCAGTACATGCCAGTTATTTTCCTGCCCAAATCAATAACAATGGTGAGAAAGCATTTCCTATTGTCATCAATGGGAAAGCTGGAGCCAGAAGAGAAACTTCTGCTATAACTTGATGAAGACAGAACGCTACACAGCGAGCCAGAGAGGCCAGGTTTCGATGACCTTATTCTGAATTGCACCAGCTCTTGGGCAAGTACATGCTCCTCCAAGCATCCGACTGGAGCTTGTTCCCTTGCCATTCAGATAAGCAGAGATGATGCGTCTCTCTCTGAATACCTTACTCAGCCCACATATCTCATTGTTTTCTTGGTCCATGTCGCCCTCTCTGAGAACATATGTGCACCTTTGTTCCCCAATACCTGGTTTGTTATGGTCTCGGTATGGATGAAAATATCTCTTCAATGAACTTTCCCTTACCTCTCTGTTACTGCATTTTCTCCATGTCTCTGATGGCCCAGTGGCAAGAAGCTGTGTTGCAATCCTGAAGGCATGCGGTTTGAGACCACCAGTTACTCTGTGGGAGAAGGATAGGCAATCTCCTCCCATGCGATTTACTGCCTCTGAAAACCTGCTGGAGGGTCGGCTATGGGTCGGTTCTGACTCTATGGTACTGAGCAAGAACAACAACAACATTCCACCACACATTAGAGGGAAAGAAGCAAAGGGTCATTTCTTTTGGTACCATTATTCCGTTTTATTAATTAGGATGCACTGACTGAGTTGGGAGGTGTACTGCCAATCCAAAGATGGGTGGTTCGAATATACCAGGTGCTCTGATGTGATGCTCAGCTTCTGAAAAACCACTGGAATTCTGGTCATTGTATGAGCTGGTTGCGATGAAATAGCAAGAAGTTTGAATTTTGCTGAACACTTTATAAGAGAAGCGTGTCTGCTGGTTTTTTATCCGGTCTTGCTTTTTTTTTTTTTTTTTAATTTGTACATGCTCATGCTTATTAACAACAAACAAAAAAACATAACAAAACAAAAAGCTCCTCATCAAAAAAAAACAAAAAAAACAAAAAGCTCCTCATCGATTGATTTCGCCTCCCCACTCCTAGCAACCATTAAGGAGCTTTGGTGGCCTCGTGGTGAGGAAGTTGTGCGGGCAACTCAGAAGTGCGCTGTTCGAATTTACCGACCCCTCCTTGGGTGAAAAATGGGCGATCTCCTCCAGTGGGATTCACTCTGCTGCAGACCTCGTGGTGGGTCTGCTACAGTCACATAAATTACCGCACAAGAAATGAGAGTGGTAATAGGAGAGGGGTTGCAGTGGTGAGAGGACAGTGATGGTGTGGCTTCAAGGCAAGAGGAAACTGATTCCAGGCTTTCCTGAACTAGAAGGAATAGAACACTGAGATGGAAACCCCTCAAGGCTTTACTGCAAACTCACACAATTTATGAAGGAAATTCTAGCAGATAAAAATGTCTCTAAAATGATTAAATCACATATAGAGTTTGTTTACTACTTTCTTGAGGGGACAGATATCTATATTCCCTTCAGGGCAAGCTCTTTCTTAGGACTTGGGGATGTTTTTATCATCGCTCCTGTCAGTCTACAGGCTTCTGGAGACCACCAGCTAGTCACCAGGGATCAACGACTGTCCGTGTTTGGTGAACCTAGTTCACCTGTCTCTGGGCAAGAAGACTTTAAGGCGTCATTGTCATTCTTGCCTCTCTCGAGCAGTGGGGGGTACACATTTTGCTATGCACACCAATATAAAGAATTTTTTAAAAAATAAAAAAGATTGAGCTGACAAAATTGATATCTATTGAGGGTAGTTTTGACATATGGTATAACGTGGATGAAACATGAAAATATCATGCTAAGTGAAATAAGCTGGACAGAGAAAGAAAATAGGACAGGAGTCCACATATACAAAACATGTATAATAGACAAATACTTAGAGCCAGTGAAACCATGAGACATTACTAGGGCCTGGAGTGAGGAGACAAAAGGGAATGGCTCCTTCCTGGGTACAGAATTTCTTGAGGCCAAAGAGCAATATTGGAAATAGATGGTTTGAATGACTGCATAACATTGGGAATATAATTAAGCTTATGCCATATATTTTTATCACAATCAAATAACTGACACAAAAAATAAGAAATCTTCTTCAAAGCAAATTGGGTAATAAGGAATTGGGTAATAATGAAATGAAATGACACATTCGGACTTGGTGGGCTACAACCTGTATGAGGCCACCTTCTGATGTATATTTCTTTATTGTTTGTTATTTTGGAGAGTCTTATTGATTACCGTGGTCTATCAGTCAGTTAACACTATAATAATCATAGCTTACACTGTGGTAATACACTGACAAGTCACCAAATTCTAGTGACATGTTCAACAAACTGTTTCCTATGTTCCATATCATCTGTGGCTTTTCTCCAGGTAAATTTAACTCGGGGACCCAGGCCAGTGAAGCAGCTTCTCTCACCATTCTCGTTCCCATGGCAGAGGGACAAGGAGAGTTATAAATCAAAAGGCTTTTACTGCTTTTTAGTGAAAGCAACCCATATAATTTCCCCCACATCTTATTGGCAAGTCACATGGCTGTACCTCATTATAACAGCAGGGAAGAATACTTCTCCCAGGTGAAATGTCTTAGGCTATGTTCACTAAAGAATCACTAATAAACATGACAATAAAGTTGTTTTTTTATTTCTTTATATTTCATTTCCATGAACATCTACAGAGATTTTGAAATTCCATTCATTCATTGTTGCACCCCTCTTCCTCTCTCACCTCTCTCTCTCCTCTGTCTCCTGCTCTCCCCTCTCTCCCTTTCTCTTCCCTTCACTCCCACCCTCCCTCCTTCCCTCTCTCTCCTCTTCCCTCTCTCTCCCTCTTTGTCTCATTTTCTTTTCTGTGTGTGAGTGAAAGAGAAAAGAAATTATTATCTTTAAAGAACACATCTCACACTAACACTATCACAGAGGCTAGCAAGTTCCAAAACCTTGGATAAAATACTAGAGATTTCTCGTAACTTCCATTCTTTCAGAGGTTGATGTACCCCAGATGGACAGGTCAGAGTGCCCATGCCATTGCATTAACCACCAAGCAAGATCGATTACCTCCACTCTTGCCTATTGACAAAAATATCCTTCCTTTAAAGTCTCTACCTTGCTTAGTGCATAGATCACATCACTTGTCCATTACAAGTTTCTGCGTAAGTAAAAGTGAAGTACTCTATGCACGAGGGAATGTGCAAAGACTACAGAATAAGCATACGGACATCGCGATTGAACCACAACCTCCCTTCCTAAACTTCTATATCACTGCTTCCCTTCAGTATTCTTCACTGGAGATACATCTCCAATTATCTTTCTTCCTTCCCGTATTGTCTGTTCTCTTTCTTAAAAGATCCTTTACTGTTCATCTCTCCTTTGCTCTTCTCAAGTAGTCTAATACGAACTCCTACCTTTCTGTCTTATCATAGTCTTTTTTTTACTATTTATATATTTTTTAATATTTACATTTTTTATTATTTTTATATGCCTTTGCCGCCTTCCCATTGCTACATGGCATGTCCTTCAGAGTTCATACTTAGCTCTTCTTTTTCCCCCCTTTGTTGTTAAGTGCGTTGACTCACCTATGACTCATAGTGACCCTGCATACAGCAGCTCTGAAGTTCATCCTGTCCTGAGCCACAGAATATATTTATATAGAAAAAGAAATAATTTTAAAATGGGAATCAATCAGCATTGCATTGTTTTTTTTTTAAATTGTGGCATAGATAAGCTTTAGACATTCTTAATTGCATTTTAATGATATGAGGGGGGGGGAAATCTAGGTTGTCATTAATCCCAGGAATTGAATCTTAGCTCTACAACTTTTAATAAAGGTCGTCGTGTCTAACCCCTAAATTGGTGTTTTTTGTTTTCTTTTTTTAAGATTCTCTAGTTGCAGAAAAAAAGAGAACACTTGACATTTCTAAAGGCCCTTCAGTAACTATCAATCATGAGTTAATTAGCCTACCTATTGAGTGTATAGATTTATCTTAGTCATCTAATTGGTAAATTTTGAGAACATTTCTCTCTGGCTCTCTTACATAATCCCTCCAGCAGTATCAGTGCAGTACAAACAGATTCATCAGCGAAGATTCACATGTGCACTTTTCACTCATGATTCAATCTTCTTTGTGTCTAATTTCTTTTGTTTTCTTCATAAATTACGATCTAGGAGTATTCTACTCA